TCATACCTCATATCCTACACAGGTGGTCTTACGATCCTCCAAAACTCCATCGTACTGCCTGGAAGTTTCAGTATGTCACGCCACAGGCTGGTCTTACATCAGCTATGGCAGACAAACAGTCGGAGTTGGAGAAACGCTAGATCAGCAAATCCAACTGATGGCCTTCTTTCCTGTATAGTTCTCCCAGCATCCCTAATTAGGGTGCAAAAAGGAAGACGAGATACATTTTTTTTGGTTTGGACTAGGAATGTTGCAGGAAATACAATGGAAAGTTGACAAACATGTGATACCCACCTCAAACCAGCTTTATCTACTGTGTCATGTTTTATCATGGTGGAACTGTTATGGATCCATCAGTACTAAAGGTCAGTTTGTCTACTCGTCTGACCAGCTCCAAGATACATGGAGTTCAAAGAGCAAATTGTAGATTGTTTGGCTCTTAGATAACAGACAAAGCTGAAGTGTATAAAAAAAATTACGTTTTTTTTTTTTCCTTACAGTGTGCAGCTTGTCAAGAACTTTGTAGAACTTTGGGTCTATAATGAACTGTGTAATGCAAAGTCAATATACCTCTACCTGTAATGCTTCAGCCAAATGGGTCAACAATAAATTTGTTTTGGACCCAGTAATGACTATATTTAGAACAACTTGAGATAGCAATGAACTAGTACTGTACGTAGGGTTGGGTATCGTTTGGGTTTTTTACGATACCGGTGCCAAATCGATACTTTTAAAACGGTTCTGGTGCCTAAACGGTGCCTGAACCGATACTTAAAAAAATAAAAATAAATAAATAAATACCCAAAATAGGATGGATTGGCCATTATTGAGCGCTATAAACACATTTAATGTCTGTTTGTTAGATCATACAATTTTTTATCAAAACCTTATTACAGTCCAAAATGTTAATGTAAAATCGACTTGTGCAATGTCTGCTTACTTTTTCGTTTGACCTTTATGTCTTACATTTCACTTTACGTTACACTTTACAGTCTACATTTTATCAGAGTAAAAATCTTTAACAGTTTAAGCAAAACCTGATTACAGCCCATTTATGTTCTGGTGTTAAATTTAGACAAAAACTTAAATGTAATTTAGTCTTGTGTGCATATGCTTTACATTTTGTTTACACTTTACGTTTGCAATTTTATCAGTGTAGAGATCTTTAACAGTTTAAGCAAAACCTCATAACAGACTATTTATGTTTTGGTGTCAATACTAGACAAAAATGTAAATGCAATTTCATCATGTGCTTTTGTTTACACTTCATATTTAAAATTTTATCAGTTAGATCATACAATTTTTTATCAAAACCTTATTACAGTCCAAAATGTTAATGTAAAATCGACTTGTGCAATGTCTGCTTACTTTTTCGTTTGACCTTTATGTCTTACACTTCACTTTACGTTACACTTTACAGTCTACATTTTATCAGAGTAAAAATCTTTAACAGTTTAAGCAAAACCTGATTACAGCCCATTTATGTACTGGTGTTAAATTTAGACAAAAACTTAAATGTAATTTAGTCTTGTGTGCATATGCTTTACATTTTGTTTACACTTTACGTTTGCAATTTTATCAGTGTAGAGATCTTTAACAGTTTAAGCAAAACAAGAGCAAATTGTAGATTGTTTGGCTCTTAGATAACAGACAAAGCTGAAGTGTATAAAAAAAATTACGTTTTTTTTTTTTCCTTACAGTGTGCAGCTTGTCAAGAACTTTGTAGAACTTTGGGTCTATAATGAACTGTGTAATGCAAAGTCAATATACCTCTACCTGTAATGCTTCAGCCAAATGGGTCAACAATAAATTTGTTTTGGACCCAGTAATGACTATATTTAGAACAACTTGAGATAGCAATGAACTAGTACTGTACGTAGGGTTGGGTATCGTTTGGGTTTTTTACGATACCGGTGCCAAATCGATACTTTTAAAACGGTTCTGGTGCCTAAACGGTGCCTGAACCGATACTTAAAAAAATAAAAATAAATAAATAAATACCCAAAATAGGATGGATTGGCCATTATTGAGCGCTATAAACACATTTAATGTCTGTTTAATTCATACTAGACACCAGAGGGCGCCCTCGTGCAGAAACTCCACATGAGCATTACAGAAGGAATTTAGTCTTGTGTGCATATGCTTTACATTTTGTTTACACTTTACGTCTCAGTCAGTGTAAAGATCATTAACAGTTAAAGTAAAATCTGATGATTTTGATGTCAAAACTAGACAAAACCTTAAATGTAAATTTGTCTTGTGTGCATGTCTTGTTTACATCTTTTTACACTTTAAAGAAATTATCAGTGTAAGTAAAACCTGGTTAGTTCAAATTTTGATATCAGATAAATTTGATTCTGTGCATGTCTTACATTTTTTAATGTTAAATATTTACAATTTAAGTTTTTTTCTCATCAAAACCAGACCAAATCTTAAATGTAAATTTGTTTCGTGCGCAACTGCTCATGTCATTTTACATTTTTAATTAATAGTTTAAGCAAAACCTAAAGTGTGCTTACCATTTGATGATAACACCAGACAAAAACGTCAAACTATAGATTTTATTAGAATACAAGATTTTAGCATGAAATACTATGCATTCAGTTTGAATGACTCAAAATTTGAAGACAAATCAAGCTAGATTCTTTTTAAACAAGTTGAAAATTCCAAAAGATCTTGTAGGGGTTAATGTGTATCTTTACTATGTCTCCAAAGAGCAGTACAATTCCATATTAATAATTTCAATTTGACAGAATGCCTCAGAAAACTGTCAGCCGGCCACACAGGCATCAGCAAACCATTCCTTTAGTTTATAAGGCTTTTTCTTACAGTAGTGCCTTTAGGGCTATTAAACTAGTGTGGGCAGCTTAGATTAGAGACGTCCGTCATTAAGTGCAGCTCAAGCTGTGACTCAGCAGTGCAAAACGGAAAAAATGCACTGCAGGTGCCCGGCTCTTTCAGATGTTGCCCGGTCTTAATATAACGTGCCTGACCCCTTTGCGGACCTCAGCAGCTGTGCGCGCTAAGCACGATAAGGCAAGTACACTAGGCATACTGTAAAGTGATATTTTGCAAGGACATCCCAGAAGGAAATTATTCATTGTTAATCATGAGTTAAACACTTGCAGTGAGTAAAGAGTCACATCAGTGGGGTTGCATTTACAAAATGTTTATTTTCCGAACCATCTTTGTGATAGAAAAAAAATACATGACAACTTTCCTTCTAGACAATTGCCAACAGTAACTGTGACGTAATCTTCAGGAATCTGTCAACATCCATAAGAACCAT